GAGAGAGAGAGATTCACATACTATCAACATAATCTTCTTTTGATAAAAATAAAAAATAAAAAAACCAATACAAGTTTATTAGATTAAACAGAAAAAAGAATATAGAGGAAAAAATGGTAAAGGAGTCATCCCAGTATTAGTACGACAAAACCTTCCCCTAATAATGTGAAGAGAAAGACTATTAAACTAATCTTAAATATCCATATTATTAAAGTTTTCATTGAGCTTAGTAAAGAGCAGCAAGAGGATTTTTTTTTTTTTTCCATTTTATTTGAGGATAAGCCAAAAAAGTAAAAAGGAAAACCAATTATTAAGCAATTGTTTAATGTTGACCAAAAAACAATTGTTTAATTGTTTAATTAAACCCTAAACCCTTAATTAATTGTTTAATTAAGCATGTTAGGACAAGGTACCGTACGGAGAGGTACCAAAATTGACTTGGAGAATATAAAACAAACTTTGACCCATTTACGACCAGCATTTGACACAATTATACGTGAGCTGAGAACTTTTATTCTTTTTGCCAAAACGTGAGCTGAGAATTCACAACCAAGAAAACAGAGAGACTTGACGAAGAAAACACGCCAGCGCTCGTCTCCTCGTCTCCTCCGTCTTGGGCTGGAAATCTCTTCCTGCTCGTTGAAGAGAGTCTTCTTCTGTCACCATAAGGTAACCTTCCTTACCTATGATACCTCACCCCTGAAATTTTGTTTTTGGTCTTCTGGGTTTTGGAAGACCACTGCATTTCTACCTTTTGGCTTGTTCAGTTCATTGTTTCACTATGTTTTTGGTAAGAAACTTGTAAATCTTGCCAATCCTTTGAAAAGTTGGAACCTTATGTTATTTTAGTCACTATGTTCAAGATTATTCCGGTTTTTTTCTTTGATTATGCATTTTCTTGGTCGCTGATGTATTTTCTTGGTCTTCAGGATCTGAGTTTTTCTTTAACTTTTGGGGAAGGAATCGTACTTAGAGGAGCACAAGTGAAATTCTGAGGTACCCTTTTCTTTTGCAATCTTTTCTTTGAGAGATTGCATTTATTTTGTAATTCTTTTTCTTGCTCTGTTTGGTTTTCCTTTTCCTTTATGTTGGACAGAGGAGATTATGCAAGCCCATTTTGGTGGTTGCCATATTTATCTATTTTCTATTGCCTTGCTTGTTCTGCATGTTAATGGCTTTTATAGTTTGTTTGAGTGAAAATGGCATAAAACTGGCAGTGGGTTGAGCAAAACATGAAGCAAGCAAGCAAATGAATTTCCTGCATTTCTCTATTATGTTCTTATAATTCAAGAAGACTAATTTCTTTTTCTTGGTTGATGTTTCTTGGTAGTTTTTTTAGCCCAATATACCTGATGGTGATGCCAACCGAAACTGAAAGCCCAATATACCTGATGGTTATGGCAGATGAAACGATTTTTTGGTACGTTATTGAAAGGAAATCCACGGCGGCGACGGCAGAAAATGATAACAACAACGAAGGGAGGAACATTATAGTGCTGCGTGAGAGCGGAAGAGACAGAGTCCGACAACTCAATGTGCAGAGTTTTGGGGGCGAAGGGTTGGACTGGATCGACTTCAGTAGGCTTGTTGCCCTGAACCGCCGCTTGTACCTCATTGGCGGTATCATTGGGGACACAAATAAAGTCGGTAGGGTCGGGTTCAGGTACATTGACTTGGATGCTACTCCGACGCCGATCTGGCATATTGGGGGCGGAGTTAATAGCGACAGACAAAGCGGGGCTATTGCCCGAGAGGATGGCTGGATCTTTACTTCGGGAGATAACCTCTACCGTGTGAATCATCCTAGTGGCGACTCCACCAAGTTGCCGAAAAAGGAAGGCCTGAGAGGAGACGTACATATGCTTGGTGTTACTAAGAGTAAAATTTTGGTTTATCACACCATGTTAGGTTATAACACCATGTACTCCATAGATTTGAGATCCAACCGCTGGGAAGTCATTTGCGACAGATTTTGGGGTGTATGGTCCCCTGGGGTGATACTTTTTGACGACTCACTTTTATTCTCCCTTGGAACGCAAAACCCATCATCGGATACAGCATCCCTCGGTTTTAAGGATCGACCAGGGGTTTATGCATTTGATATTCGTGCTCGTAGATGGTTGTCCAGCCCACTTGAGGGCCTGAAAAATGAGGTAGGCCTTGAAAATTTTGACCCTGAGATAGTCCTTCCCAGTGAGGGTCCATATGACGGTGGAGATGTCCATGTCCCTACGGATGAGCCTGTAGACCCATTCAAGCCATGGTGGGTTCCACTGTCGTTGGTTAAAGTTGGAGTCGAGAATGGCCACCACAAGTTGGGTTTGGTATGGGATCGCATGATCATCTACGACAACGATGTAAAGTCTTGTCAAATTCATTGGTGCAAGTTCAAGATACTTACCCCTAATGGTGGTGATATATTAAAGGCTGAATTGCTTTCAAGTGGAATATGCAATCTAGATAAAACCACTTACATGGTGATGAATTGCACAGCAGGATTGTAAGTAACGTCCCTTAATATGCATATGCTAATTAGTTGTTATGTTTATCAATCTAGCTGCATGTGTTTTTTGTTGTGTCGTGCCATCTTTCCGATCACAACCCAGTATATATATATATGGAGAAGTCAGCATGCTATTAATTATCTCTTTGCAATCACATCGACACGTCCCTACTCTGCTTGAGACGACTGACAGTAGACTAAGTGTGGTTAGTTTTGTCTACGGCACAACTTTTCTTTAGAGATAAGAAGTTTCGAACTAAATGCATAACTTTTCTTTTTTGCTTTGTCTGCCCAATAGCCTTTTTAAGTTTGTGTCTCAAGTTGTTTAGACTGGCTAATGTAAGTTGGGTAATTCCAAGGACCAATTTTTCTTTGCATTGTGAAAATATTAAGCCGTTTTGGAGGATGAAAGAAGACTAAAGGTCTTCGGGGCTGTTTGGTGCGTGGCAGCTAGCTGTGGTTTCCGTTATTTGGATGACAGGAAACAAAATTCTTTGTTAAATGTTGGCTCCTATTGCTGAACTGAGCATCAAAACTTTGAATAATGAGTCATTCAACCAATCTCGTAAGCTTCCAAGCTTTTATAAGTTTGGATAGTATAGGTTCTAAATTGCATGACACTTAATGCTATGTGACTCTCATTATTTGGATATACTCATTGACAGGGTAGTTGCACCAAATGAGGGCAATGAAGAAGAGAAGGGTGCAGATAAAAGAAGAAGAGAAGGGTAATGAAGAAAAGTAACTTGAAAGTCAGTCATATATATATTAGTTTATCTGTAGAATCTTATGTTGATGCTAATTTTATCTCATTGTTTGACTGTGTATCTATTAACAGGGTCACTGCACCAGATGACGGTAATGAAGAAGAGAGTGATAGTAAAAGAAGAAGAGGGTAATGAAGAAGACTGACTTGAAAGACATATTTGTAGAATCTTATGTTGACGTAATTCTATCTCATTGTTTGACTTTGTATCTACAGGGTAAATGCACCAGACGACAGTAATGAAGAAGAGAAGGGCAATGAAAGAAGTGGAAGGTAATGAAGAATAGTTGTTGTTACCTTCCCATTGATTAGTTGTGGATTATGACTTTTCTTGTTGCAGCTGCTTCCCAACAAATCAGATAGGGGAAACTCGCTGATTACTTTGTTATTCAAGGTATATTTGATGGTTTTGTTTTGCCTGAAATTTTCTTTGGATTTATGCTTTACTAATTTTCTTAATCTTATGTTTGGTGAAGGTAAAGTTGGAGGTCTGAAGCTGCAAGTTTTGGAATTTGTAAACTGCAAGTTCGAACTTGTTTTTGTTTTGCTTAGACTGTAGTTTGAACTTCACCTACATGTCCAGTTAATTGTATGACTTAGTTAAGCTGGGACTTAGTTATATTACCCAAAATATATGACAAAGAAAAATGGGGACTTTGCTATGGATATTTGAAGTTTCGTTAATGAAGGTTGTCTTTGAATCATGGATTTTGGATTAATGTTATGTTTAGTGTTAATGATTTGATTCAGAAATGATGGCGATGCCTCAGGTGGCGTCGCCATCTCCTTTGAGTTTTAAGGATAAACTCACGTACCTCCGGGTATGATTCACCTCCTCCATTCCAGCCATACGACTATTTGGAATAGTGGTATAGATGCTTTGCTTGAGGACTCAAGGGAGAACTGTGTTTGCTTCTTGTCTGGCTAAGTTAAATTCAAACGTCAATGCCAGTTTAAGCAAAAAAAATAAATATACGGAACTGGGATAAGTTTTTTTTTCTTCAAGAAGCATCAATTTAAACGTGAAACTCATTCTCTTTCTTTGGGAAGGCTAAAGTGAGTTGGGTAAATTCTTTCCTGGGAGCAACTTTGCTGTGGGTAAATTTTTTGTTTTGTGACAGCATCAAGGTTGGTTTTTGATACAAAAACTACTGCAGTTATTTGGGGATGTTTGGTGGTAGCTGTTTTGTGATTTGGGTTATTTGTGCACAGAGTTTCTATTTCCATTCAGAAAAGAAAATGAGGAATTAGAACCAAAAGTTCAAGACAGTGAGGGTTACTTATTTACATCTAGTATCTTCCTCAACCAAAACAGTGATTTCAAATGTAGTCCCTGACTCATATTTGTCCAACTCATAATATTCAAATTTTAGATGAGTATTTGTAAAACAAATTTCACAACAGCCTTTTACACTCAATCGACTGCTGGGACCTGAACATCTGAACTTTAACACATCCACACTACCTTTCACGTGGTAGTGTGTTTGGATGAGGGAAATAGGTATTTTGACAAAAGTCAAAATTTCTAAATTGAGACATGAACCAATTCTCGTGTTTGGGTTATGAATTCATTTGTACTTTCAAATTTCCTCATCCAATCGCACTGTTATCAATCTTCCATTCATGTTTCCATAAAGCTGCAAAAGAAATGCAGCAGGGTACTTTTTTTACTGATGAAGTGCGAAGCGGGTGAAGAAGATAGGAAAAGAGCAGAAAACTCTCACAATCTTCATTAAACATAGACAGCCAGAGTTTGATACAGTGCATAAAATAGTTAAATTACCAAAAGACACAGAAGGTTCATGAGAACGAAAGGAAAAAAACAAACGCAGAAAATTTGAGGCAACCGGCCATGATTTTGGGTGCGCCAGATTTTGTATCCCTTTTCCTTGCTGCAGTCTTTCCTTTTCTTGGGCCGTTTCTTCCACCGATCGCTTTCCTCAATCTTAATCTGTCTACCACAAGTAACGGCTAGCAATCAAGATTCAGGCCACATCAAATCCCTATAAACTTCTGTTTCTTCGCTGTGTTCATGTATGGCTTGAAGACCCATTCATCCTGGGCTTCATTCTGATCCAGTGTTCCCAACTTTATCTGCAACACCAGAGAGTCATAGAAACCTCGAGGTTCAACTGTAACCATTATGGCCAATTTAAACATTTAACTTGAACTGGAATAAAAGACGGCCATTATGGGAAATCATAATTACTTCGATATTTAAACCTTATGTGTGAATAGTAACTGCTCTTGGAGACAATTAAAATTTCAATATATATATATATATATATAAATTCTCCTATGCGGATGTTCGGAAGTTATTATCATGCGGATGCCTTTGGTTAGTGAATAAGGAGATAGCCAACAAAGTAAAATACATGAAATATTACAGTCTACTCGAGTTATGTGTAACCATTTTCATTTTAACTTCAACTTGAAGAAAAAGAATCACACTCCATTCATCTGTCCATGCTGGCCATTTATGGGAAGGTACATCAATATTTTCCAGTTTAAGGCTATGTTTTAAACTATTCTTGGTCTTGGAGAATAGTATCCACCCGTTCCCAACCATTTTTTCAGGAGAAAGGGTTGGGCCATAGGGAAGAAGGCTAAAATGTTCAAGGCAGGACACTTCAATGGGCAAATCTACCATCAGCGAATGCCTGTAACCTCATAACCAGACATATTGAAGTACTTTTGGGTGCAGTTTGAAACAATACGAAAGGTGAACAGACATGAAGGCAAAAAGACTAAAAATAGAAAAACATATACAAAACAGTAAATTAAACTGAAAATAAGAGAGCAAGTGTCATATCAATGCAAAGAAGCACAAATCCTTGACCATATAGGTAATGCACTAACCTTGAAAGGCCTCATTTCTAACCGAGGACCAATCTCCTCCAGAACGATGGATTTAAGACCTCCATGCTTTCCATAAGTATGATGCCTGTAGGTTCTCAGTTTGTTAACAGAAAAGCAAAGCAAAACTGACACATTTAGTGAAGAATAGAATCGCAAATAAGAAAACTCACTTACTAAATCACACAGCGGGAAAAGAAAAGCACAAATGATACAACAAACGTGAATGAAATATAGTCTGACTGATTGGCAAAAGTGATTATGCGCTTTGTATCTGGCTTTGGCACTGGAAAGAGATGCTTCAAAATATTTGCTGTTCTCTCACCCAACTACCAACTCAAAAGTAGGAGTGATGTATTTATACATAAGATTAAGGTGTAGCAGAACCACATATGCAAACCCAAAAGAGTGGAGAATTTAGAAAAAGTAAGAACAGTAATAAAGGGGAAAAGCAATAGAGTGATAGAGATGAATAATGAGCCACATCCAATCACATTACCATCGGGAGAGGTTTTCTAATAAGCCATCAGGATAGTTTATTAATACAAACAGGCACCAAAACAAACCAGCAGAGGACAAAATGGTGCTTCAAAGGGTGACAGTCCTCGAAATTTCATAGTCAGTAGTAAATTCATGAAAACAGTACTGGTCATTGATTTGCAGAACAATTATAATCAGTGAACAATGCTATTAATGCATGGGGTCTTACCTTTCTTCTAAAATATATTGGGTAATGTGAGCAATCAAGACGATGGTACCTTTGTCGTGAAATTGTCAAGAATCACATGTGGATAAACCTGCGGCATCGTTCCCATAGCTTTCTTGTCCTTGATGTCATGTCTTCTAACCTATTAAGTAGAATATTTTTAGCAAAATTCCCAAACTATTTAGTTCAAGCACAGATACAGTCAAAAAGCAACAAGGTCAAAAAATGATCAAGATCATAAGTCTAATTAATTAAATGGGTTTAATTTTCAATGTGCATCATGATTGGCATATTTCAATTGTCATTATCAGCTCTTCCTATTATGTTTCTTTGCTCTGGGAAGCTGATGCTTTTATATTGAAAAAAGACCATCATTCTTCTTTCACTTTTAAAAACACTATCTCTGCCTCAATTTTCCCTATGTTTTTTTCTGCTGAAGACCCCTAGAAAATTGCTGTTGTCTGGATTCTTTTTCTGCAGTCAAACGTCAGTTTTAATATCAAATATTTATTTTACATTAACATGGATCATTACACTACTTACCACATTGCGCAGTTCAAAAAGAGCCGTTGGACCAAAAGGAAGGTGGATTATAAACAAACCATCAGGTAGGCCACGATTTTCATGAACCAAAACAACATCTGTAAAATCATGTGCACGGCAAGTTTCAATAATTTCAGAAATAACCTGCAGGGTTTGGGAGAAAAACACTGTCAATTAGATAGTTTACTATGGAAAATAGACCAAAGGATCAGAACCATGGCAGGTATATCCTCAAATGTGATAAGCTGTCGAGAAAGAATTCTAACATCTAACATAAATAGAATAACATCAGAAAAAATTGAAGAGGTCATTTGCCTGGAAAAAATATATTCACCATGTTCTTAAATGTAGGGGTCAATCTAAACATAATCGCAACACCAAACAAATGGTGAACGGTAAAGGACGGAACAAACTGAACTGAAAATCAAAGGCACATATGTGGTCGGTATTTCGCGACATTACAGTTTGGTCGCGGTGAAACTGCGGTTTTGCAGTATCTCGGTAGAAAATGCCAGCCCTAGTGCCAATGACTTAATGTGAGTAGCTCATGGTTAAGCACATGACACATAACAGAAGTGCAACAGCACCTTGCACAAAAAATATTTGCAAATAACCAATTCCAGGAACTTCTCTATTTTCTGGTGCGTATGGAAAAGTTGAAATGACAGAGCTTTGGGGTCTAGGATTCTTTTATGGACTTAGAAACACAACCTGTACAACCACTTTACTACTAGTGCAACAATTAGGTTGATTTTTTCACAACTTTTTGTTTATCTTATTTCTGTACTGAGCATATAACTTATAGACTCTTCCTAAAAATCTATTTTTTCTTGGTGCTAAAATTCAATAAAATAAAAAAATAAAAAAATCCTAAGCTTTAAAAGGTACATGGATTTTTTTGTTAGCAGGTCTTACCAGTTATGAGTTCATTAAGCAAATAATAATTCATCCCAATTGATTAACTTCATAGTATGCTTAATTTCTGTTACCGGTGTCATGTTGTCTAGAAAATTAACACCCTATACAACATAGTTTTTTTATTTTTTTTATTTTTTTTTTTATTTATAAATCAGGGAGGGGGCATTCGAACTTGGGATCTCTTCCAACATTAGGAAGACAAACACCAGTCGACTAAGAGCTAGTCAGTTCCCTAAAACATATTTAAAAAGGTGAACAAATTATTTTCAAAAGACTGAATGTCCATATCAAAAATAGAACTGTGAAATAATTCACTGTTGCATTCATATAAAAGATTCAACATCCCGGCCCAATCTCACAAACTCCTAGCACCAAAATGTACAACATATCTAAGTCCTAATTTCAGACTAAACCCCATGAGGTGTACGATTTTTCCAAGTATAAATTTTGTTATCACACACTGGGCATATATTTGATATCCATGAAAAAGCAACAAAAGCAAAACTTGGAAAACGCACATCAAGAAACTGATGATTTATGTAAAAACAAACAGGGAAGAAAAGGAAAATAAGCCGAACAAGTCTGGGCGAAAAAGTTCACCAACCTGACCACCACGGTTCATTTGTTGTGCATTAGGAAAAACAAGTTTCAGTTCCTACAACAAGTGTTACGTGAACCACAATAGCACTAATCAAAACCAAATTTGCAGCAAATAATACGAACCAACAAATTGAACACCAAAAGTGCAACTAGATGAACAAGAGAAATTGAAAGAGGCTAGGCCAACCTTTGCAAATTGTACTAGCGGAGCACTTGGATTCCGGGAAGTAGTTATCAAAATCTTGGGATCTCTTTCTGCTGCTTTTGCGTACTCATCGTCGATATGTGTCCTTGGGACTAGGATTCGGAAATGAAAACAGGGAAGAATTGACCACATAATAAAATGGTCAATTAGATAGTTTACTATGGAAAATAGACCAAAGGATCAGAACCATGGCAGGTATATCCTCAAATGTGATAAGCTGTCGAGAAAGAATTCTAACATCTAACATAAATAGAATAACATCAGAAAAAATTGAAGAGGTCATTTGCCTGGAAAAAATATATTCACCATGTTCTTAAATGTAGGGGTCAATCTAAACATAATCGCAACACCAAACAAATGGTGAACGGTAAAGGACGGAACAAACTGAACTGAAAATCAAAGGCACATATGTGGTCGGTATTTCGCGACATTACAGTTTGGTCGCGGTGAAACTGCGGTTTTGCAGTATCTCGGTAGAAAATGCCAGCCCTAGTGCCAATGACTTAATGTGAGTAGCTCATGGTTAAGCACATGACACATAACAGAAGTGCAACAGCACCTTGCACAAAAAATATTTGCAAATAACCAATTCCAGGAACTTCTCTATTTTCTGGTGCGTATGGAAAAGTTGAAATGACAGAGCTTTGGGGTCTAGGATTCTTTTATGGACTTAGAAACACAACCTGTACAACCACTTTACTACTAGTGCAACAATTAGGTTGATTTTTTCACAACTTTTTGTTTATCTTATTTCTGTACTGAGCATATAACTTATAGACTCTTCCTAAAAATCTATTTTTTCTTGGTGCTAAAATTCAATAAAATAAAAAAATAAAAAAATCCTAAGCTTTAAAAGGTACATGGATTTTTTTGTTAGCAGGTCTTACCAGTTATGAGTTCATTAAGCAAATAATAATTCATCCCAATTGATTAACTTCATAGTATGCTTAATTTCTGTTACCGGTGTCATGTTGTCTAGAAAATTAACACCCTATACAACATAGTTTTTTTATTTTTTTTATTTTTTTTTTTATTTATAAATCAGGGAGGGGGCATTCGAACTTGGGATCTCTTCCAACATTAGGAAGACAAACACCAGTCGACTAAGAGCTAGTCAGTTCCCTAAAACATATTTAAAAAGGTGAACAAATTATTTTCAAAAGACTGAATGTCCATATCAAAAATAGAACTGTGAAATAATTCACTGTTGCATTCATATAAAAGATTCAACATCCCGGCCCAATCTCACAAACTCCTAGCACCAAAATGTACAACATATCTAAGTCCTAATTTCAGACTAAACCCCATGAGGTGTACGATTTTTCCAAGTATAAATTTTGTTATCACACACTGGGCATATATTTGATATCCATGAAAAAGCAACAAAAGCAAAACTTGGAAAACGCACATCAAGAAACTGATGATTTATGTAAAAACAAACAGGGAAGAAAAGGAAAATAAGCCGAACAAGTCTGGGCGAAAAAGTTCACCAACCTGACCACCACGGTTCATTTGTTGTGCATTAGGAAAAACAAGTTTCAGTTCCTACAACAAGTGTTACGTGAACCACAATAGCACTAATCAAAACCAAATTTGCAGCAAATAATACGAACCAACAAATTGAACACAAAAAGTGCAACTAGATGAACAAGAGAAATTGAAAGAGGCTAGGCCAACCTTTGCAAATTGTACTAGCGGAGCACTTGGATTCCGGGAAGTAGTTATCAAAATCTTGGGATCTCTTTCTGCTGCTTTTGCGTACTCATCGTCGATATGTGTCCTTGGGACTAGGATTCAAAAATGAAAACAGGGAAGAATTGACCACATAATAAAATGTAAAACTACAAATTACAGGACGGTTGGGTATCTAGAGTTTTTCGAGTATTTGTTTTAAATTATAGACATCATGTACACTGAGCCAATTTCGAAGTGCACTTGTACAGGCTCATCATCACTACATGCAAATTTTTACTGAATGTCCTCGAAAAGACCCATATCTTTTAAGCCTCATTTCTTAATTTCAACTTCCTTACCTATAATGTGAAAATCAAATAAACTTTAACCATTCATTCTTCTCACAGTTTTCCTTTTTCCTTCTTCAAAAACCAACAGAACCATCAAGAAAAATACATTGGCGGTCTAAACAACCAGAGAAGAGAAAAAAGAATTTCTATATACTCATATACCAGCAGTGTTCTCATCTTCGAGATCAATTTCTCGACGAAGCTCCGCCTCTTCATTCCGAAGCTCAGTGGGAATCGGTTTTCCCCCTGCAAGAAAACAAAAGGTGTACCAAATTTGTTGAAGAATACATGAGTCTCACGTCGAAAACTTAACAAAATAGAAAGTCTCGCATAATAAATAGTTTCACTCCTAAAAAAATCGAGAATTTACTAAACTGGACAATATTATTCCTAGTGGTGGGCCAAGGGTTGTTGAAGCATACACGAGAGGCTAACACCAGAAATTTAAAAAAATAGAAAGTCTCATGTAATAAATAGTTTCCTCCTAATAAAATCGAGTCCTTTAGTATAAACCTGGTTAAATTGGGGACAATATCGATGTTGTTCAAACTCCATCCCTCTGGAATCTTCATAAGATTAAGTAGAAAATCAACTAACCCTAAAACAAAATCAAAGATAAAAGGGTAACCTTGCAGAGCTTCTCTAATCTTGCGCTTGTTCTCGTAGAGAAGGCGTTCTTTGCCTTCTAAGCTCTTTCTGTACAAATATTCTTTCATCAATCTAGTATTTTTTCCTCTTCATACTCTCTCTCTGTGTCGCTCACTGCTCAGGAATGGTGATGTCCAGGGGCAAGAGGGAGACAGTAGAGCGAAGGCGGCTACAACTTCTGCCTTCCTATTTATTAATCTAGTATAAAATAATTGTTTTTTGATTGCCCCACGTTAAAATGAACAAAAAGAATAATATTTATATATATAACTTTAAATAAATAAATAGAAAAACCACGGTTCGCAGCCCCGAGTTTTTTTTACAATATTTTTTAATTAACTTCTGCCTTCCTAGCCGTTAGGTGACGTCGGCCAGGTTTTTTTTAGATCAGAAAAAATGATTTATTTTATTTAAAAAAACCCTAAATTTTGTTATATTTATAAATATCTTCATTTTCTCACAAAATCTTCATCATTTTACATATTATCCTTCCTTAATTTTATCATTTTACATAATTTCTCACAATCTCTTCATTCTTTTATAAACTATCCTTCATTTTTTTCTATTTAACTTAATTTTAAAGTTGTTTTTAAAACAAAACAAAGACTTGAACATAACAATAATCTACTGTCAATTATTATTTATTACAAACACCAACGTTGTTTTTAAAACAAAACGAAAACTTGAACATGACAATGTCTTGTCAATTATTATTAGTTGCAAACACAAAAGACTAGCTAATGTCACAAGGCTGCTCATCATTCTAGTGCTCATTTCGCCCAAAGATGTGCAACAAGATCGTCTTGTAGGTTGTTGTTTGCGATACGTGAACAAAATTCTCCCCAACATGGAAATAAAAATGTTGCAATATGCAACAGTCACAAATTCTTCCCAACTTTATTAACGTGAAAACTATAAAAATGTGAATATTAAGAGAGTCAGAGTGATGGATAATGTTTCACATTCTCAAAAAATCATTCTAATTACTATAACAAGCACATTCAAAAAAGATAGTCATCGCTCAAATAAGAGATGAATTCTACAGAAAGCAAGATAGACATAAAATGGGATTCTTTTTGTTTGCTTTTTGGAAAGATGCACTTTGTCATACTCAAGCTTTTTGACCATTTTCTTAAGTCCTGCAAAGCTACAACAAAAGTATGGACACTATCAGCGGTCTGTGCTCCTAGCTCATCCACAGCACTCCCAAGGGAAGATTGAGAATCATTTCTTGACAACCTTATGTTGGAATCATAATGTAATAGAGGAACCTTCCTCCCAAAACCTTCTGGTCTCCCAGGAAAGCTTGTCTCAAACCCATTAGGTGAGGTTCTCTCCGATTTATATGGAGAAGATGAAAATATCTATAGGATGGCTTAAAACACTAAAAATGTAAAGTCTGCGTTTTGAGTAATCAAGAGTAATACAATAATATATAAAAATACACCAAAGGGATTGATACGATGTATCAATCCTCTATCGTATAGAACGTAAAAACAGATAAAAACACAAAAGTTATTTTATGTGGTAAAACCCCATCTCTGGGGAAAATTCACGGGACCTGATAGTCCAAGGCAAATCCACTATAAAATGATGATTACAAGTAGTATACAAACTTGTCCTAGATACCCTTGACAACGTACCAACTTCTTCGTAACTCAACTTCTCACAGGATGATCTTTCGACACTCCTTATGTTGAACGCAATACTGGTCATGATTCCTTCAAGCTCGACGGAGTTATTCCAACTCTTCTTATGTTGAATCTGATACTGGTCACGATCGATTCAAGCTCACAGGAGAAAAACTATCACAACAGTCTTTGTGCCCTCAACCGTATGAGTCACCGAACATGAAAATGAATGCAATATGAATACAAAGATAAATCACCAAGATAATCTTACTCTTGATGATTTATCCTTTTAGAAAATAAAGCACAACAACTTTCTTTTGTGTATATGAAAACTCAAGAAATACTCTATTCGTTGAAAGTTGTTGTTGAATGAAAATCAAGCCTTCCTTTTTATAAAGGTTCTCAAAACTGGAAACAAGACCAATTAGTCCTAATCAACAGATTAATTTGCCAAAAACAAACTAATTGATTTCCAATCAAAAAAGACTTTTAATGTTCAAAACTGGAAAGTAATTTATAAAATAAATTAATCTTTCTTAAAATAAAAAGTTTTCTTAATCAAAATGTTAATCAGATTGTGAGTTTGAAATAATGTTTGAAATACCACAATCAGGATGCATGATTGAATGAAGAATTTACCTTAGTGATCGTTGGTTGACATATAAGCCTTCAGAGCATATCTTGGAATTTTGATAGCCACCATCATAATTAATTTACCATCTATACTTAGTCTAATTTGTCTCTAGGAAATGCCAATAAAAAATCAATACTAACAGAAGATGAGCCGGTCATGAGATTTTCTCTACAACTCCAGCTCCTAGTTAACTTTAGGTTTTTAGAACTTGACATATTTGCTAAAATATCATGCGGAAATGATTCTTCAGGGGAAGGACTACCAAGAGAATCAATGGTCATTTGTATATCATGTAGTCTTTGCTCCAACGTGCATATGCAGAACCATTTTGCATCAAACTCCCTTCTCTATCTGCATTCACTGGGGTAGATATCAATTCTTAACCTGTTACCCTTGTATCCCCAGATGTCCAAACAGATGTTCCTTAATTGCTAACACTAGTTAAGGCATGAGATCCAGAGTTCTTGTCCCAGCTTGACTCTTCCATCTCAATACAGGGAACTTCTTTGCAGTAGTCATCAGTACCTTCAGTAGTTCCACCTACAGTTTCCTTAGGACTGCTCTCATTGTCTCTTTCATCAAAATGAGGATTGTTGAACTTTCTAACACCATTCGGATAATGAGAATCAACCACACCTGATGATACTGAATATTCATCGTCTGACATATCCCATGCTTGCCATTTAGGATCATGATTGTCTGAAGCTTGAATGGATGATGATTTCTGAACCCTAAACCCTAAGTCTGAAAGGGCAATAGGTTTTTTATTTTATTTTATTTTATTTTTTTTAAAGTACAAGAGATAGTCTAAACTAAAGAGGAATGAGTTTCTCACACACACACAACTGATGTCATCGGGGTTCAAACCCGAGACCTCTTGTCTACAAGTCAAGGCCTTTTTCCACTTGGCTAAACCCCGTTGGCCAAGAGGTTCTTTCTAAATGTGTTGTGTTTTTGTTTTTTTATATCAACATAATCTTTTATTATTATTATCATCAAATATAAACTTCATTAGATAAACTTCAATAGTACAAACATCAACATGACATCTAAAGTACAAATCTAAAGAGGGCAACGAACTAACATGTTAAAAACAAAACTATATTTCTCACTAAAACTACTAGCCCACATCACCACAATTAACCATAAGCCCAAAAAAAACCAACAAACCCAACATGACCCTAAAGCAACCCATGAGCCTAAATGAACCCTACCACCACCACATGATGAAGCGTCGTTGTGACCACACCCACCATTGCATCCGTAACATATATGGGGAAAATATAATTTCCAATGATCTACCTGTGCATTAGAGTGAACAAATTAACGAAATAAACAACCCTGTGAAAGAACAATTGGGTGATTTCATCAAAGACTATGTAGAAACAAATTTAGAGAACATGGGCATTGTTAGAGTGTGGGTTTTGAAAGAATCACTACTACAAAAATCGAAATAGACGACGAGAAACCACCGTCGTGTACAAGGTTTTCCAACTGTCGTGAAATCGACCGCCATCTTTTGTACTATCAACAACGACGGTTAATACCCGACTTTGTTCAGGGATTCAACGTCCAGATTTATTACTAACTGACATGTAATTACGATATAATTAGCCTAAAATGAAATCTCCGACAACATTAGACGACGGTTTTATGAAAATGGAGACATCTACAGACTATTACATGTCAAGATCAAAAGAAGAACCGACGTACAGATAATTATCCACGTCTCTAAATGAAGGAAAAAAGACTTTGATAAGTTAGAAACCGTCATGGTTAATATTTACTACGTTAAAAAAAGAAAGAAACTGACGTGTGGACCATAAACAACGACGTAAAAACAAACGAACAGACGTTTAAATAGTATTACATGTCATTTGTCTTTCAATAACCGCTGTAAATAAAATAACCACAAATTGCACTAGGCATCACCGACACTCAAGTGTTTATCAACGTCTCGAAATATAATACAAACCGACGTTTTAACCAGTTTCCACGTCTAGTTTTTTCGAGAATCGTCGTTTAAATAGTGCAAAGAAGGCCCTTTGACAGAGGTAGACGTCACTTTTTCTAAATAATCGACATCTAAAATATTTAAAATGACATAATATTACTCAATATCGACGTACAAAACTCTCCCACACGTCGGTTTATGTTAAAGACTGACGTTATAAATAGTATTTAAGGCATGGATAGAAACATAACCGACGTGGATTATAGATTTAACGTCCGTTGTTTTAAAATAAAGGATGCAGTTAATTACTTCACTACGTCTAGAGATCCACCTGCTTGACGTTGTAATTACTTACCACGTTGGTTCTTATTACATAATGACCTGGTTGTCCTTTTAAAAGTCGCTTGTTTGACCAGCTGTGACGTATGTATGGGCGGAGACGTCAGTTGTTTTAGACTAGCAAACGTGCATAACATCTGTCACGACAGTTAATGGAACTGAACGACCTTTATTTTTAGATTTAGACGACGGTTTATTTTAAGCAAACCGTCTTGATTTCTTTTTCAGATGATTGTTTTTTTGTTTTACTGTATGTTGCCTTTTTGAAACCCGACGTTGTTTTTATCTTAGACGTCTGTGTTTCCAATTTTTATCCCTGACCGTCGTACTTTACAGCTTTAACCCAGCTTTTTAAATTTTTGATTTGTCTTGCCCAAAGCCTACATAATGAAAATATGATAAGAATTAAAATGTTGTACAAAATTATTAATTAATGTCATATAATTAACTGAATACTAAGGTCATACATTACAACAATCAATCAATCCATATATCTTCACACTCATCTCTAATATTTTCATTCCCAAACTCACCCACTAGGTCATCAAATGTGTCAACATTTGGTATCCCTCTAGTAAATGACTCACACTCAATTCTAGTATCACCTAGCACATCATCACCAATAACATCATTATATTCTCTATTAGGCATTGATAACACTATCGACCAACCAGGATGCATTGGGTCGTCAACATAAAATACTTGTTTGACTTAAGAAGCCATAACAAATTGGTCATTCTTATGTCCAATTTTACTCAGATCTACAAGGGTAAATCCAAGTTCGTCGACTACAAGGCCCGAAGTGTTATCTATCCAATCACACCTCAAGACTGGGATTCTAAACTTTTGGTAGTCAAGGTCCCAAATTTCTTGAATAACACTATAAAAACCCATATTTGAGACAATAGGGTTTTTATCCTTGGCACTAGCAACTTGCATAGTATGTGCAAGTAAATAAACTCCACTATTTTGGTCAGTTCTCACATCATCTTGTGTCTTGGTGTTATATTTAACACTATTAATAAGATAGCTCCTATATGATGGCACTGCCATGCTT